AAAAAAAAAAAAAAAATTGTTCCAAAACTCTACATTGTCTTTTGTATCATAAAAAGATGATAGATTTACTCCAAAGGATTATAATGCTCTCCTACTCACAGTGGACACATGTTAATATGTCCACCGTTTATGTGGCATGCACACATTAGTTATGTATTTTTTTTGAACATATTAACATCACCAATGTTTGCATGCCAAATAAACGATGGACATATTAACATGTGTCCACCGTGAGTAAGAGAACATCTTTTACGGTTGATGAGCCGAATAGAGAAAAAGTGGCACCTTATTTTATGGAAACAAAGTGGAAATAATCGGTGAAGACAAAAAGGAAAAGCGAGAGCAAATAAAATAATAACCTCGTAGATTCCGTAGTTGGGATTGGGTGAAAAATAATGTGAAGTTTGTTCTGTTAAATGAGTAGAAAGACTGATGACATCTCTTTCGCACATGATGATTTTTCTTTACAATGCACAAACCATACCAATCTTTAGCCTTAAGCCAATTCTCTCGTGTTTGTTACGCCTTACAAAAATTTCCACATATATACTTGTCTTTTGTTTATACTTGTTAATCATTATGATTTATTATTATTACTAGTACAATACCCGTGTATTACACGGGTGCTTGTTAAAAAATTATTCTTAAATTTTAAAATTAATGACAAAACTATATTAAATTTAGTTTCTTTTTTTACAAAAAAAATATATTACTATATCTTTTAGAATGATATGTGTTACTTATGACTTACATGTCTTATATTATATTAATTTTTATAACTTATATCATATAACTACTTGAAATATAAATATATTAGTTGATAAATAATTTTATTTTTCTAATTAATATTAAAAATAATTTTATTATTGTTATAAAGATAAATATAAATTATTTTTTTTATACATACAATATGGATGTTAAATCGAAATTCATCAAAAGAAGATTAATTTGATATATTACATATGTAAACTGATAAAAAATAGTTATTAACTTTTAAAATATATATACAGTTCAATAGTTATAATAAGGAATGATATTAAAATAAAATTAATACATGTAACATGACCATAAATAATCAACATATTTATGGTAATCCAAACCTAATTATTTTTTGTTTGGAATTAAATTAAAAAATACACAAGCCTAATAACGAAGCATGTAATTTTGCCACATAGGATTCCGAATCACCAGAAGCAGCCACGTAGGCTCAGCGCATTCTGTATTAATATATAAGGGGATTATTATTATTATTATTATTATTATTATTATTATTATTATTATTATTATTATTATTATTATTATTATATTATTTATTTTAACAAGTCATCATCTTGAATGCAGTTGGATAAACTTATGAGCTTTGTTAGAATATAATTTATTCCCCAATTTGCACTTTACTTCATCTGCGTGAGACCACACTCGTTTTTT